TCAACAATTATACTGAGATATCAAATTGTGTGTACCTTTAGCGGAAGCCAATGCGTTGCTAGGAATCTGTTCAATGATAACATGATTATTGCGCATGTTATCACTGTCATATTCATTTACCAGTCCAACTACCGTCGTAGATATCAAAGCCAAGAATTTTCTGTATAGTAGGTTGTCCTCAAGCTTAGGCTTTGCAGGTCCGTGGCGGACCTCAAACTGAACAAATTTTAAACGTTAAAGATAAAAAAACACAAAGTAATGTCAAGGATGTCACAAAAATTCCATAGGTGTTAACATGGTATCAATAATTACAGTTTTAGCTTCGTAAGTAGCACGTAGAAATGAAGATTATTACCTGTTTGAATCAAGCTTTGCCTTTCAGCAGACGATTCTTTTTTGGTGGATTTTTTCAGACTTTCCCACTGTGCTTTTACGTTTTCTGCAGTCCTATATCCAAAAGTGGTTTGGGAATTAAATTCTTCCGATATTTTTACCCACTCCGCATTTTTCTGTTTCATGGTAACAGCATCGGTATGCTTATTTTCTACTATACTGAAATGTTCAGTCACTAAATCCACAAGCAACATCTTTTCCGACATTTGCCAGTTAGAACTGCGTTTTCTGTCCGACATTATTAATTAAAATTGATATTGAAATAACAAAAAAGCGAGAAAAATACAATCAACAGTTGATGAAAATAAATCTGCTTCAAACTGACGTATAACCCTGCTAAATTAAAAAGTTTGTTGTGTTAATTTGTTGTTACTTAATTTGTTTTCTTTATACAATCATTCACTTGCTCATTCAAATAGTCTTTCACAGATAAGTAAAACCGTTATTCGAAAGAATAGTTAATCTGAGACTAACTTATCTGTTGTTTTGTATGGTGAAATGTGCAGTAAGTTATCTGAGAGTAAAAGTACGGAATATCTTTATTCTCGGGTTAGTTAATCTTAGACAACGACGTCGTTGGTGAAATCGGCACTCAGACGATGATTTAACTATTTAACATACACTGCGGCATTACTGCAAGAGTGTGGCTATCAATTACTCCACTACCTTCATAGAAATTGGAAGAGGCCAGCAGTTTTACTTATATAGGCCTTAACATATTATAATCTTGAATAATTTCAAAATTCAATTTGATGTGTTAAAGTAAGCGTACCAACCTTAATTGTGCATTGTCAATTACGCAGGCAATAAGTGTACCCTTTCTAACCCTTTTATTTAAAGTAATAACAACAAATGAATAAACGCGTAATGGCGGTGTAAAAATATCCACTACTCCATATCATCCCGTAGGAGTCGTAATAGGCAGCAAAATCTTCCTGCTAGCTGCTGAAAAAAAAAAAACAAACGGTGGTTGTCAATTCGCTAGTCAAGCGTGACAACTATGGCTCCTGTGATGTGGAGGCCTATGTTCAAAAGCGGACTTTTGATAGTCTGCAATGGTAATGGTAAATAAATAAATGAATATATAAAGGTATATGGTAGAACTAATATGTAACATGAATTGTGTGGCTTATCCAGGGAATAAGCAGCGTAATGCTGCTCGGTTTCAGATGATGAGTGACGAGAACCAGAGTACTTATTCTACTGGAAACAAAGCATTTATGCTTGCTCCCATGAGTAAAAATGCATCTAAATTTTGATTCTTTTTCAAGGATATGTAAATATGTAGGAGTATATGAGCCACGGCATCCACTTGCGGTAAGGTGGTACTGGGTACTGGGTGTTCGTCTGTCACACTTTAATTGTATAAAACATAATTTTTATTAATTTAGCGATTTATATATGCGTTTTTCCCAATACCAACAAATTTAAAAATACATTAAAGTACCTCGTAATAATAAATTCACTACTATTTTGTGGTTGTTAAAGGTAATCAATTACCCAGTTCCTTGCGGATTACGATTAGTGGTGCTGTATCTGTCGTCGACAGATGGCATGATTCTTCACTACACAAATAGCCTCGTCAATCGTAGAAATGGGCAGATCATGTTGTGCACGGCCATTTAATGATACGCCGCCATTTCATGATTTGTTCAATGGTTTATACGCCATAGCTCTTTGTGCCTAGTTTATATAACATACAACGCGTATATTAAAAATAAACGCGGCTTAACCTATTGTCGCTAATATTCCTAAATAGATTATTTCGTATTTATAATATATTAAATATGCTTGAAATAGAGTTTCCTTACAAACATATATATGTTAATACAACAACAATAACATAATAATACATGAACTATTTGGTTCAAGTCAATATTAAAATATAATGTATCTATACATACATAATATAAATTATTGTTTAATACAAACATATTATGTTACTTACTAATTACAGTATCTTTGAACGATTAAATAATTGCTAGGTTGAGGCACAAAGCTAAATTAGAAATTTTGACATGACATTTGAATTTACGCATTGCGTGCTATACCTACAACATTAATGATTCATTGATTAAAGTCTACTTTTTGACCCTCACATTCCAAAATAAAATTCGGGAAGTCGATGTAGCTACCTACATAAATAGACTTCTGGCATCACTTACCAAGTAGGCACTCCACCTAGTACAAAGTCGCCCTGCACTTAACTTATCGGTAGGAGACTGCCACTCGATAACTTTCACAAGAATTTTTTTCAGGCATTTTAATTCAGAGAGAGCCCGTTTGTCACCCTTATTGTATATAAAAAGGGCTATATAAAAACATATAATTGGCATATACTAAAATCCAAATAAGAGTACCCTTAACCCAGCATGTTCGTAGGTATAATTAACGAAACGGAAGTCTGTCTCTGCCACCCACCTGCCAGTAGGATGAAAAAAGCTATTCACAAAGATATGAAGAAACTGTAATGCTTTTATGTTATTTAACCTTCAGTAGGTATATTACATAAGTAATGTTACAGCCTATATACGTCCCACTGCTGGGCACAGGCCTCCCCTTATTTCTGAGAGAGTTTTAGGGCAAGGAAGTGTCCGCCGCGCTGCCCCAATACGTGTTGGCGAACTACACATGTCTTCGAATTATTTTTTTTTTCTTATTCCTCAGACATGCAGGTTTCCTCACGATATTTTCCTTCACCGCCGAGCACGTGGTATATCAGCACTTAAAATTGCAACTAACAATTTCATTGGTGCCGGCGGGGATCGAACCCAGGTTACTTGCATTCTGTTATATTTACGGCGAGCGTTAACCATCTGAGCGACCACGGCTCTTACATTACATACGTAAACGCAGCTATTGACCATGAGGCTCCGGATTTGAACCCTGGATCGGAAAAAAGTGAGTTACTGAGTATTGCCGTCAAGAAATTTCCAGTAGCACCATGGAGTCAGGAAGTTGGCCATAATTTACTCTTATGGCTAACAAAGCACGTAAAACCATTGGTCTTTCGCCTGATCTCATTTCGGTCGTTTCGGATTGCCATATTATTGGAATATGCAGCTTAGGGAATAGATAGATTACCTGCGCTTCCGCATACACGGGCACTATTACCCTGTCCTGCGCAGTGCTAGTCTCCGTTGAGAATAATTATGGTAAATGACAACCGCCGCCTACGAACTACCGCAATATCAGGGGAAGGCAGGTGCGTTGCCAGCCTTTTAGAAAGGAGTAAACTCTTTTATTGAAGGAAATCAGTTCGGAAAAATTGCCTATGGTAAACAATTCCACAGAGATTTTGTACGAGGAAGAAAACTCCTAGTAAACCGAACAGTAGTGAATCGTCAAGCATTCAGATCGTGAGGGTGGTATCTTGAAATTTGACACGATGTGCATTCATTAAATTTGGTGGCTGGGATTAATTCGAACAATTCCTCATAGCGCTCCTTATAGTAGATACGATAGAAAATGAAAAGGGATGCAACATTCCTACGCAGCGCCAGTGAATCAAGCCAATCATCAAGAACTCGATCGTCGACGATTCGAATCGCACTGCGCTGTATACGGTCATGTGGAAGGAGCTGGCAATAAGGTGTCGCCCCGGCCTAGAGATGAGAACAGTATTCCATGTGAGGCCGAACTTGCGCTTTGTAAAGTCGCAAGCGATGTTTCAGCATGAAATACTCTCTCGCTTTGCTGAGCACGCCAAGCTTATTAGGGGCCAATTTGATCTTGCTCTCAAAGTAATCACGGAACTGCACACTATTCGATATGTCGACGCCGAGGATTCTAATGCTAGCTACCACAGCAAGGGGAGTGCCTTGAAACTGAGGAGATACAATAAAGGGTTTCTTTTAGCAGTAAAACGCGCAAACTTGTGTCTTCTGGGGATTAAACAGGACTAGATTTAGTTGGCCAAATCCGAGACCTTGTTGAGCTAAGACTCGAGTTCAGACACAAATTTGTACTGGTATTCGGTGACATATTCCCAAGAAATAGTGGCACGGCCAGTGTATAATACATCACCAGTGCTGTCGTCGGCATTTCAATGAATGTTACCAGTTTGCATCATATCACTGATATGCAGAAGAAACAGCGTTGGTGATAGCACGCAGCCTTTAAAAAACATAGGCTTGTAATCAGAGCACGTACCATCTAATATGACCTTGATGCTCCGATCAGCAAAGAAACTGGTGATCCAATTGCACAATTTCTCGGGAAGCCCATAGGAATAAAGCTTCGAGAGAAGCGCTTTGTGCCAGACCCGATCGTAGGCCTTCGCTGAAAAAAACTGACGGCCAATGCCTCCCCTTTGGACTCTACTGCCTTAGCCTATTTATGAGTCAGGTATACCAGAATATCGCCAGCTGATCGACCACGACGAAAACCGTACTGGCAGTCACTAATGAGCTAGTGATCCTCAAGGTACCTTACGGGCTGGCAATTTATAAGGGACTCCATTATTTTGGAGAACAAGGAGGTGATGGCGATAGGCCTGTAGTTTAAAATTGAATTACTGTTAGGTATAAATGCAATACTACATAGTTCTCCAAGTCATTATTTATAACTCTTCAGAATAAATGCTTCAGATTTTATTAATATGCCATTGTTTAATTTGGCAAAGGTTCCTGTTTCCGTAGCTAGCAGGTAGTCTTATGTTGTTTGAAATAATATAATTTATACATGGTATACACTGGGAGAGGTACGTCTAAAATATACGACTATTACGTACGCTTCAAATGGTATGAGATCAGAATACTTGTTTTTCCACGCTGTTTGTCTAACGACTGGCTGAATTGCGCTATGAGTAATTTATGCAGACACCAAAAACAACCTATATTAGTGCGACGAGTTTATTGCAGAAAACTTTGGTTTAAGTTTATCTTTAAATGAGTTTTATTAATGATAAATGAGGACACACGCATATCCATTTATTATTCCTTCATTTAAAAACAACTGTTTATGTGCTGCCGAGTCTTTATGAACAAATGATAATATTGTACCTGTCTTTTGATTTGAATAAATTTTGTTTTAAAGTTTAGTAACACGTGCTCAGAGTGTATTAATATATTTATTACTTAAATTCAATAATTAATAATTAACTTTAATTCTACGTTAATTTATTCAAGAAATACCAACAACTTAATGCCTTGTTTTATGGCGAAAATACAAGTTTTTCACAAGTCAACAGCTGTACATAGGTCTCCATCAACCACACTCCACAAGCCACACTGCACGG